ACCATCATGAGAAAACCATACAGTATAATGTCTTCAATGTTGTATTCCCTAAAAATATGTAGAAAAACCAGAGCATTTCAAGAGCATTACAGGCCGGGCACAGTGGCTCACGCCTGTAATCCCAACACTTTGCAAGGCTGAGGTGGGAAGATCACCTGAGGTCAGGAGTTTCAGACCAGCCTGGCCAACATGGTGAAACCCTGTCCTTACTCAAACTACAAAAAGTAGCCAGGCATGATGGCGGGCGCCTGTACTCCCAGCTACTCAGGAGGCTGAGGCAGAAGAATGGCGTGAAGCCAGGAGGTGGAGCTTGCAGTGAACTGAGATCATGCCACTGCACTCCAGCCTGGGCAACAGAGCGAGACTCCCTCTCAAAAAACAAACAAACAAACAAAAAAGCAGCAGTAAGTTCATTAATCAGATTCACTGAAATGGTTTTAGAATAACTGTAATTGCTCAATTTAGACGTCCCTTTCCTTTCTCCCCAAGGATGTTGTGCTTATGTACTATAGAATTATAAATGCATAGCACATTATGTAATATGAAATATAACATATAAAATATAAATGTGAGTTAATTACATGGTGAACATTTAGGGAGAAACCCATTCAGGCGATCTCCTAACTTGTGAGAGCCTGGGGGGGAAAGTGGGACTATCACGTCTGTCTTACACCAGATTTCACACCTCCCCAGAGCTCAGCCACTTAGTGCTCTTGCAGCTTTCCTACCACCTCTGCCAGCCAATCCTGTCTTGGTAGAGATCTGACCTCCCTATTGGCTATGTGAACCTTTAAACTGCCTGCTTTGTGACATCATTCTCTCCCTCAAACCTACCACCGCCTGGTAGAATCTTGGGGTTGCTGGGGAGTGGCCTGTACATTTGTATCATCGCAAGTGGCCAGTGACCAGTGACCGGTGACCAGTGGCCTTCATACTGGACACATGCACTCGTTAGCTCAGAGCCACCCAGACATCCGCTAGTGTCGTCACTTCATCCTTGTATCTCTAGTTGATGTTTCTTCTTCTCTGACCATGTCCAAGTAAAGAAAAAAACTTTTTAAGAGTTTTCCTGAGATTTCTTTCCCCCTAAATTTAGATTCCTTTTTACCCCTTTGTCCCAAACAGCTTGGAATAACAGAAACTCTTGAAGTAGAAATCTAGAGACTTCATTTCAGTTTTACTTGCTGATGTCTTTTACTAGCTGTGTGACCTTAGATAACTTATTCTCATGGAGTCTGTTTCCTCATCTGTTACATTAGGATAATAAATTGGTTATTCCTTCTGGTCCTTTTCTTTTTTCTAATGCTGAGTCTTAAAGGGTATACATATACAAAATGAAATCAGAGACTTTCTGAGAGTGTTAGTTTCCACAAGAAACAGAGAAAAAAAACCCAAAGTGGCATAGAAAAGGAGCAATATGTTCTGAGATGTTTCATTTGTAATAGTCTCCTCCACTATTATTTCAACTTTCCAATTTTAAATTTAATGAGCGTTTAGTGATGTTTTAAATAATATTTAAGCCAGGCACAGTGGCTCACACCTGTAATCCCAGCACTTTGCAGGGGCCATCTCCCTCACTAATATTTCAACTTTACTCTTTTAAATTTAGTGATGTTTACTGATGTGTAGTGATGCTTTTAATTTTCAGTTGGGCGTGGTAGCTCACGCCTGCAATCTCAATGCTTTGGGAGGCTGAGGTGGGTGGATCGCTTGGGCCTGGGTTCACAACCAGTCTGGGCAACATGGCAAGACCCCATGTCTAGAAAAACTTTTCAAAAATCAGCCAGGAGTTGGGGCATGCCAGCTATCTGAGGCTGAGGTGGGAATCAGAGGACTGCTGGAGCCCAGGAGTTGAGGCTGCAGTGAGCCATGTTCACACCACTGGACTTCAGTCTGGGTGACAAAGTGAAACCCCATCACAAGCAAACAAACAAACAAAAGTAATATCCACGTTTTTGAGATTCCTATCTAAACTAGGTAAATACAATGGAAGTACTGAGTTACAAGAGACGGAGTATTCTAGGGTAAGGAATTTGGGATTTTAATTAAGCAGAATGTCGGGGGTCCCTACTCCTTCCCCTTGGGATATGCCCTGGAAAATGACAAAATGATTTTAAGAAAAAAATGTTTTAAATTTGAAAAAAATGTAGAGGACAAAAGAGTGAAATCTATTCAGGGTAGGGCAAAATGAAGTTGGATTGAGCAAATGCTTAGATCAATGGAGTAGGAAGGAACGCGCTAGAATACGGTGTCCCTAGGAAAGGCCTGCCTATCAAGTCATATTCAGTCACTTTTTCTGTTGACTTTTGACTTTTTTGATACCAGTTGACACTTGACAGTTTTTTGTTTGTTTGTTTGTTTCTGTTTTTTGTTTTTTGTTTTTTTTTTGAGGCGAATTCGCGCTCTGTCACCAGGGTGGAGTGCAGTGGCCGGATATCACCTCACTGCAAGCTCCACCTCCCGGGTTCACGCCATTCTCCTGCCTCAGCCTTCCAAGTAGCTGGGACTACAGGCGCCCGCCACCTCGCCCGGCTAGTTTTTGTATTTTTTAGTAGAGACGGGGTTTCACCGTGTTGCTAGGATGGTCTCCATCTCTGACCTCGTGATCCGCCCGTCTCAAGCCTCCCAAAGTGCTGGGAATACAGGCTTCAGCCACATACCCAACCAACAGTTTTTAATATATAAACATTTTAGAAATATGTTTTAGAGGCCGAGAACGGTGGCTTACATCTAATCCCAGCACTTTGGGAGGCCGAGGTAGGCTGGTCACACACTGAGGTCAGGAGCATGAGACAAGCCTGACCAACATGGAGAAATCCACTCCACCTGCTAAAAACACTTACAAATGTGGACGTGGTGTCATGCTGAAATCCCAGCTGCTTGAGGAGGCTGAGGCAGGAGAGGCCTGAGAGGTGAAGGTTGCGGTGAGCCAGATCACGCCATCGCACTCCGGCCTGAAATAAACGAAACTCAGTTCAAAAAAAATGAAAAGAAATATCTTTAGAAATGATGCTTCAGGCGGGCGCGGTGACTTACACCTGTAATTGCAGCACTTTGGGAGGCTAGGCAGGCGGATCGCCGAGGTCGGGAAGTTGGAGACCAGCCTAGACAACATGGTGAAAGCCTATCTCTGTAAAAACACTGGCTCAGCTGGGTGTGGTGGTGTGCACCTGTAATCCTACCTACCTGGGAGGCTGAGGCATGAGAATAGCTTGAACCATGGAGGCAGAAGATGCAGTGAGCTGAGATCGTGCCACTGCCCTCCAGCCTAGGCGACAGAGGGAGACTCCATCTAAAAACAAACAAATAAACAAACTAAGGATCAATTCAAGTATCTCTAAAAGCTTACCACCAAGGAAAATGATTATATCCATAGATTTCCTCCCCAAACCAGCTTAGTCACTATGTGGTAAATCATTAGCAACTCGGACCTAACTCATTTTTCACAGTTACAAGAGAAGTTAGTGAGAAGAAAAGCTTCACGAACTAGGAAAATAAAAACTAAGGCAATCCAGGTTAACTTGGGAGTGACTGCAGACATTAAATTCCTTATGCCTGGACACACAGCACAACTCACAACAGTGCCTTTTTCACAGATCCCCTCTTTAATTTCCTCCACAAAACCCATCAGGTCACCATAGCGCATGATGTTTCAAAATAAATAACCACTAGGAGAAAACCATGCAGTATGTCTTACTATGTTGTATTCCTTAAAAATATGACAAAGAAGAAAATACATGTAGAAAAACCAATGCCTTTAAGTAATCTGCAGACCGGGCACAGTGGCTCACACCTGTAAACCCAGCACTTTCAGAGGCTGAGGAGGGAAGATCACTTGAGGTCAGGAGTTTGAGACCAGCCTGGCCAACATGCTGAAAGCCTATCTCTACTAAAAATATAAAAATCAGCTGGGTGTGGTGGGTGTTCACCTGTAATGCTACCTACCTGGGAGGCTGAGGCATGAGAATAACTTGAACCATGGAGGCAGAAAGATGCATGAGCTGAGATCGTGCCACTGCCCTCCAGCCTAGGCGACAGAGGGAGACTCCATCTAAAAACAAACAAACAAACAAACAAACGACTTGATCAATTCAGAGTGTCTCTAAAAACACCACCAGGAAAATGATTACATCCATAGATTTCCTCTCCAAACCAGCCAGTCCACACGTAAATCATTAGCAACTCGGCCCTAACTCATTTTATCACAGTTACAAGAGAAGTTAGTGAGAAAAGCACGAACTAGGAAAACAAAACCCAAGGCAATCCAGGTCAACTTGGGCTGACTGCAGACATCAGTTCCTTATGCCTGGACACACATACAACTCACAACAGTGCCTTTTCACAGACCAATCTTTAATTTCCACCACAAAACTCATCAGGTCACCATGGTGCGTGATGTTTCAAACTAAACAACCATCATGAGAAAACCATGCAGTATGTCTTACAATGTTGTATTCCCTAAAAATATGTAGAAAAACCAGAGCATTTCAAAAGAGCGTACAGGCCCGGGGCACAGTGAGAACACGCCTGTAATCCCAACACTTTGCAAGGCTGAGGTGGGAAGATCACCTGAGGTCAGGAGTTTCAGACCAGCCTGGCCAACATGGTGAAACCCTGTCCTTACTCAAACTACAAAAAGTAGCCAGGCATGATGGCGGGCGCCTGTACTCCCAGCTACTCAGGAGGCTGGGGGCCATGAAGAATGAGGCGTGAAGCCAGGAAGTGCTGGGCTTGCAGTGAACTGAGATCATGCCACTGCCCTCAGCCTGGGCAACAGAGCGAGACTCCCTCTCAAAAAACAAACAAACAAACAAAAAAACGATAAGTTCCATTTAATCAGATTCACTGAAATGGTTTTAGAATAACTGTAATTGCTCAATTTAGACGTCCTTTCTACTTTCTCCCCAAGGATATTGTGTATGTTTCTTTATAGAATTATAAATGCATAGCATTATGTAATATGAAATATAACATATAAAATATAAATGTGAGTTAATTACATGAGTGAACATTTAAGAGAAACATTCAGACGATCTCCCTAACATGAGAGCCTGGGGGAAAGTGGGACTATCACGTCTGTCTTGCAGATTTCACCTCCCCAGAGCTCAGCCACTTAGTGTCTGCAGCTTTCCCTACCACCTCTGCCAGCCAATCCTGTCTTGTTGGGGAATCTGACCTCCCTATTGGCTATGGCAGACCTTTAAACTGCCTGCTTTGTGACATCATTCTCCCTCCAAACCTACCACTGCCTGGTAGAATCTTGGGGTTTGCTGGGGGTGGCCTGTACATTTGTATCATCTGAATGGCCAGTGACCAGTGACGGTGACCAGTGGCCTTCATACTGGACACATGCACTCGTTGGCTCGAGCCACCCAGACATCCGCTAGTGTCGTCACTTCATCCTTTGTATCTCCAGTTGATGTTTCTTCTTCTCTGACCATGTCCAGGTAAGAAAAGAGGAAACTTTCACTTTCCTGAGATTTCTTTCCCCCTAAAATTTAGATTCCTTTACCCCTTTAGTCCCAAACAGCTTGGAATAACGAAGAGCTCTTGAAGTAGAAATCTAGAGACTTCATTTCAGTTTTGCCTTTGATATTTACTAGCTGTGTGACCCATAGATAACTTATTCTCATAGTCCTATTTCCTCATCTGTTGTTACATTAGGATAATAAATTGGTTATTCCTTCTGGTCCTTTTCTTTTCTAATACTGAGTCTTAAAGGGTATACATATACAAAATGAAATCAGAGACTTTCTGAGAGTGTTCGTTTCCACAGAAACAGAGAAAAACCCAAAGTGGCATAGAAAAGGAGCAATATGTTCTGAGATGTTTCATTTGTAATAGTCTCACTCCACTAATATTTCAACTTTCCAATTTTAAATTTAATGACGTTTAGTGATGTTTTAAATAATATTCAGCCAGGCACGGTGGCTCACACCTGTAATCCCAGCACTTTGGGAGGCCATCTCCCTGCTAATATTCAGCTTTTCCTCACCCAATTTCAGTGCAGCCTGTGTTTAGTGATGCTTTTCATTTTGGACAGGCGTGGTAGCTCACGCCTGCAATCATGCTTTGGGAGGCTGAGGTGGGTGAGATCGCTTGGGCCTGGGAGTTCACAACCAGTCTAGGCAACATGGCAAGACCCCCATGTCTACAAAAACTTTTCAAAAATCAGCCAGGGTTGGGGCATGCCAGCTCTCACAGGCTGAGGTGGGAGGATCAGAGAGGACTGCTGGAGCCCAGGAGGTTGAGGCTGCAGTGAGCCATGTTCACACCACTGGACTTCAGTCTGGGTGACAAAGTGAAACCCCATCTGAAGCAAACAAACAAACAAAAGTAATATCCACGTTTTTGAGATTCCTATCTAAACTAGGTGGAAGCCAAAATGGAAGTACTGGGTTACAAAGAGGCAGGTATTCTAGGGTAAGGAATTTGGGATTTTAATTAAAGCCAGAATGTAGGTCCCTATCCTTCCTTAGGATATGCCCTGAAAATGACAAAATGATTTTAAAGAAAAAAAAATGTTTTAAATTTGAAAAAATGTAGAGGGACAAAGAGTGAAAATCTATTCAGGGTAGGGCAAAATGAAGTTGGATTGAGCAAATGCTTAGATCAATGGAGTAGGAAGGAATGTGTTTAGCTGGGAATACGGTGTCCTAGGAAGGCCACCCACATCAGAAGTCATATTCAGTCACTTTTTTCTGTTGACTTTTGACTTTTGAGCACAGTTGACATACGACAGTTTTTTTGTTTGTTTGTTTTGTTTCTGTTTTTGTTTTTTGTTTTTTTTTTTTTTTTGAGACGGAGTCGCGCTCTGTCACCCAGGGTGGAGTGCAGTGGCCGGATATCACCTCACTGCAAGCTCCACCTCCCGGGTTCACGCCATTCTCCTGCCTCAGCCTTCCAAGTAGCTGGGACTACAGGCAGCGCCACGCCACCTGCTCTAGTTTTGTATTTTTAGGAGGCCCCGAGAGGTTTCACCGTGTTAGCTAGGATGGTCCATCTCCTGACCTCGTGATCCGCCCATCTCGGCCTCCCAAAGTGCTGGGAATACAGGCTTCAGCCACCGCACCCAACCAACAGTTTTTAATATAAACATTTTAGAAATATGTTTTAGAGGCAGGAACGGTGGCTTACATCTATAATCCCAGCACTTTGGGAGGCGGGAGTAGGCTGATCACCTGAGGTCAGGAGCATGAGACAAGCCCACAATACAACATGGAGAAATCCCATCTCTACTAAAAACACAAAATGTGGACGTGGTGTCACATGCCTGAAATCCCAGCTACTTGAGGGCTGGGAGGCTGGGAATCGCTTGAACCTGGGGTGAAAGGTTGCGTGGGCAAGATCACGCCATCGCATTCCCAGCCTGGGGAAATAAGAGGAAACTCAGTTTCAAAAAAAAAAAAAAAAAGAATGAAAGAAATATGCTTTAGAAATGATGCTTCCAGAGCGGGCGCGGTGGCAACACACCTGTAATTGCAGCACTTTGGGAGGCTAGGCAGGCGGATCGCCTGAGGTCGGGGACGGAGACCAGCTAGACAACATGGTGAAAGCCTATCTCTGCTAAAAATATACAAATCAGCTGGGTGTGGTGGTGTGCACCTGTAATCCTACCTACCTGGGAGGCTGAAGAGGCATGAGAATACTTGAACCATGGAGCAGAAGATGCAGTGAGCTGAGATCGTGCCACTGCCCTCCAGCCTGGCTGACAGAGGGAGACTCCATCTAAAAACAAACAAATAAACAAACTAGGATCCAATTCAAGTATCTCTAAAAGCTTACCACCAAGGGAAAATGATTATATCCATAGATTTCCTCCCCAAACCAGCTTGATCCACTGGTAAATCATTAGCAACTCGGACCTAACTCATTTTCACAGTTACAAAGAGAAGTTAGTGAGAAAAGCACGAACTAGGAAAACAAAAACTAAAAAGGCAATCAGGTTAACTTGGGGTGACTGCAGACATCCGTTCCTTATGCCTGGACACACAGCACAACTCACAACAGTGCCTTTTTCACAGATCCCCTCTTTAATTTCCTCCACAAAACCCATCAGGTCACCATAGCGCATGATGTTTCAAAATAAATAACCACTAGGAGAAAACCATGCAGTATGTCTTACTATGTTGTATTCTATTAAAATATGACAAGAAAAATACATGTAGAAAAACCAATGCCTTTAAAAGTAATCTACAGACCGGGCACAGTGGCTCACACCTGACCCCAGCACTTTCAGAGGCTGAGGAGGGAAGATCACTTGAGGTCAGGAGTTTGAGACCAGCCTGGCCAACATGCTGAAAGCCTATCTCTACTAAAAATATAAAAATCAGCTGGGTGTGGTGGGTGTTCACCTGTAATGCTACCACCACTGGGAGGCTGAGGCATGAGAATGGCTTGAACCATGGAGGCAGAAGATGCATGAGCTGAGATCGTGCCACTGCCCTCCAGCCTAGGCGACAGAGGGAGACTCCATCTAAAAACAAACAAACAAACAAACAAACGATCAATTCAGGTATCTCTAAGAAACACCGCAAGGAAAATGATTACATCCATAGATTTCCTCTCCAAACCAGCTTAGTCCACACGTAAATCATTACTTATCGGCCCTAACTCATTTTATCACAGTTACAAGAGAAGTTAGTGAAAGCCGCCGAACTGGGAAAACAAAACCCAAGGCAATCCAGGTCAACTTGGGCTGACTGCGAACATCAGTTCCTTGTATGCCTGGACACACAGCACAACTCACAACAATTCTTGCTTTTTCACCTTTAGACCCAATCTTTAATTTCCACACAAACTCATCAGGTCACCATGGTGCGTGATGTTTCAAACTAAACAACCATCATGAGAAAACCATGCAGTATGTCTTACAATGTTGTATTCCCTAAAAATATGTAGAAAAACCAGAGCTTTAAAAACGTACAGGCCGGGCACAGTGGCTCACGCCTGTAATCCCAACACTTTGCAAGGCTGAGGTGGGAGAATCACCTGAGGTCAGGTTTCAGACCAGCCTGGCCAACATGGTGAAACCCATCCTTACTCAAACTACAAAAAGTAGCCAGGCATGATGGCGGGCGCCTGTACTCCCAGCTACTCAGGAGGCTGAGGCAGAAGGGCGGCGTGAAGCCAGGAGGTGGAGCTTGCAGTGAACTGAGATCATGCCACTGCACTCCAGCCTGGGCAACAGAGCGAGACTCCATCTCAAAAAACAAACAAACAAACAAAAACGCTTAGTAAGTTCATTAATCAGATTCACTGAAATGGTTTTAGAATAACTGTAATTGCTCAATTTAGACGTCCCTTTCCTTTCTCCCCAAAAGGATATTTGTGTATATACTATAGAATTATAAATGCATAGCATTATGTAATATATGAAATATAACATATAAAATATAAATGTGAGTTAATTACATGAGTGAACATTTAAGAGAAACATTCAGACGATCTCCCTAACATGAGGCCTGGGGGGAAAGTGGGACTATCACGTCTGTCTTGCAGATTTCACCTCCCCAGAGCTCAGCCACTTAGTGCTCTTGCAGCTTTCCACCACACCTCTGCCAGCCAATCCTGTCTTGTTGGGAATCTGACCTCCCTATTGGCTATGGCAGACCTTTAAACTGCCTGCTTTGTGACATCATTCTCCCTCCAAACCTACCACCGCCACAGTAGAATCTTGGGGTTTTGCTGGGGGTGGCCTGTACATTTGTATCATCGCAAGTGGCCAGTGACCAGTGACCGGTGACCAGTGGCCTTCATACTGGACCACGCTGCACTGGATTGGCTCTCGAGCCACCCAGACATCCGCTAGTGTCGTCACTTCATCCTTTATTGTATCTCAGTTGATGTTTTCTTCTTCTCTGACCATGTCAGAACTGAAAGAAACTTTTTAAAAAAGGTTTTCCTGAGATTTCTTTCCCCCTAAATTTAGATTCCTTTACTTTAATCCCAAACAGCTTGGGAATAACAGGAAACTCTTGATAGAAATCTAGGGCTTCATTTTCAGTTTTACCTTTGATATTTACTAGCTGTGACCTTGAATAACTTATTCTCATGGAGTCTGTTTCCTCATCTGTTACATTAGGATAATAAATTGGTTATTCCTTCTGGTCCTTTTCTTTTCTAATACTGAGTCTTAAAGGATCTTCATATATACAAAAATGAAATCAGAGACTTTCTGAGAGTATTCGTTCCACAGAAACAGAGAAAAACCCAAAGTGGCATGAAAAGGAGCAATATGTTCTGAGATGTTTCATTTGTAATAGTCTCACTCCACTAATATTTCAACTTTCCAATTTTAAATTTAATGACGTTTAATCTGATGTTTTAAATAATATTCAATAAGCACGGTAGGCTCACACCTGTAATCCCAGCACTTTGGGAGGTACATCTCCCTCACTAATATTTCAACTTTACTCTTTTAAATTTAGTGATGTTTACTGATGTGTAGTGATGCTTTTAATTTTCAGTTGGGCGTGGTAGCTCACGCCTGCAATCTCAATACAGGAGGCTGAGGTGGGTGGATCGCTTGGGCCTGGGAGTTCTGAAGCCAGTCTAGGCAACATGGCAAGACCCCATGTCTACAAAAACTTTTCAAAAATCAGCCAGGGTTGGGGGCATGCCAGCTACTCACGAGGCTGAGGTGGGAGGATCAGAGGACTGCTGGAGCCCAGGAGGTTGAGGCTGCAGTGAGCCATGTTCACACCACTGGACTTCAGTCTGGGTGACAAAGTGAAACCCCATCACAAGCAAACAAACAAACAAAAGTAATATCCACGTTTTTGAGATTCCTATCTAAACTAGGTGGAAATACAAAATGGAGAGTACTGGGTTACAAAGAGGCAGGTATTCTAGGGTAAGGAATTTGGGATTTTAATTAAAGCAGAATGTCAGGTCCCCTACTCCTTCCCCTTAGGATATGCCCTGGAAAATGACAAAATGATTTTGAAAAAAAAATGTTTTAAATTTGAAAAAAATGTAGAGGGATAAAGAGTGAAATCTATTCAGGGGTAGAATTAAAATGAAGAGTTGGATTAGCGACAATACTTGAATCCAATGGGTAGGAAAGGCAGCTAGAATCAGTGTCCCTAGGAAAGGCCGCCTATCAGAAGTCATATTCAGTCACTTTTTTCTGTTGACTTTTGACTTTTTGAGCACAGTTGACACTTGACAGTTTTTTTGTTTGTTTGTTTTGTTTCTGTTTTTGGTTTTTGTTTTTTTTTTTTGAGACGGAGTCGCTCTGTCACCAGGGTGGAGTGCAGTGGCCGGATATCACCTCACTGCAAGCTCCACCTCCCGGGTTCACGCCATTCTCCTGCCTCAGCCTTCCAAGTAGCTGGGACTACAGGCGCCCGCCACCTCGCCCGGCTAGTTTTTGTATTTTTAGTAGAGACGGGGTTTCTGGTGTGTTGGCTAGGATGGTCTCCATCTCCTGACCTCGTGATCCGCCCGTCTCGGCCTCCCAAAGTGCTGGAGGTGGGCTTCAGCCACCGCACCCAACCAACAGTTTTTAATATAAACATTTTAGAAATATGTTTTAGGAGGCAGAGCAATTGGCTTACATCTATAATCCCAGCACTTTGGGAGGCAGGCAAACTGATCACCTGAGGTCAGGAGCATGAACAAGCCTGACCAACATGGAGAAATCCCATCTCTAAAAACACAAAATTAGCTGGACGTGGTGTCACATGCCACAAATCCCAGCTACTTGAGGGGCTGAGCAGGAGAGAAACTTCGTGAACCTGAGAGGTGAGAAGATTCGCGGTGAGCCAAGATCACGCCATCGCACTCCCAGCCTGGAAATAGAGCGAAACTCAGTTTCAAAAAAAAAAGAATGAAAGAAATATGCTTTAGAAATGATGCTTCCAGGCGGGGCGCGGTGGCTTACACCTGTAATTGCAGCACTTTGGGAGGCTAGGCAGGCTGGCCCGGATCGCCTGAGGTCGGGAGTTGGAGACCAGCCTAGACAACATGGTGAAAGCCTATCTCTGCTAAAAATATACAAATCAGCTGGGTGTGGTGGTGTGCACCTGTAATCCTACCTACCTGGGAGGCTGAGGCATGAGAATAGCTTGAACCATGGAGGCTGAAAAGATACAGTGAGCTGAGATCGTGCACTGCCCTCCAGCCTAGCGACAGAGGGAGACTCCATCTAAAAACAAACAAATAAACAAACTAAGGATCAATTCAAATGTATCTCTAAAAACACCACCAAGGAAAATGATTATATCCATGATTTCCTCCCAAGCAGCAGTCACTGGTAAATGTTAGCAACTAGGACCTAACTCATTTTCTGATTACAAAGAAGTTAGTGAGAAAAGCGAGAACTAGGAAAACAAAAACTAAGGCAATCCAGGTTAACTTGGGGTGACTGCAGACATCGTTCATATGCCTGGACACACAGCACAACTCACAACAGTGCCTCACAGATCCCCTCTTTAATTTCCTCCACAAAACCCATCAGGTCACCATGGCGTGATGTTTCAAATAAATAACCACTAGGAGAAAACCATGCAGTATGTCTTACTATGTTGTATTCCTTAAAATATGACAAAGAAAAATACATGTAGAAAAAACCAATGCCTTTAAAAGTAATCTACAGACCGGGCACAGTGGCTCACACCTGTAAACCCAGCACTTTCAGAGGCTGAGGAGGAGAGATCACTTGAGGTCAGGAGTTTGAGACCAGCCTGGCCAACATGCTGAAGCTTCTCTCTACTAAAAATATAAAAATCAGCTGGGTGTGGTGGAATTGTTCACCTGTAATGCACCTACCTGGGAGGCTGAGGCATGAGTGGCTTGAACCATGGAGGCAGAAGATGCATGAGCTGAGATCGTGCCACTGCCCTCCAGCCTGGCGACAGAGGGAGACTCCATCTAAAAACAAACAAACAAACAAACAAACGATCAATTCAGGTATCTCTAAAAGCTTACCACCAAGGAAAATGATTACATCCGCGTTTCCTCTCCAAACCAGCTTAGTCCACACGTAAATCATTAGCAACTCGGCCCTAACTCATTTTATCACAGTTACAAGAGAAGTTAGTGAGAAAAGCACGAACTAGGAAAACAAAACCCAGGCAATCAAGTCAACTTGGGCTTGACTGCAGACATCCAGTTCCTTATGCCTGGACACAGCACAACTACAACAGTGCCTTTTTCACAGACCAATCTTTAATTTCCACCACAAAACTCATCAGGTCACCATGGTGCGTGATGTTTCAAACTAAACAACCATCATGAGAAAACCATGCAGTATGTCTTACAATGTTGTATTCCCTAAAAATATGTAGAAAAACCAGAGCATTTCAAGAACGTACAGAGCCGGGCACAGTGGCTGCGCCTGTAATCCCAACACTTTGCAAGGCTGAGGTGGGAAGATCACCTGAGGTCAGGAGTTTCAGACCAGCCTGGCCAACATGGTGAAACCCTGTCACACTCAAACTACAAAAAGTAGCCAGGCATGATGGCGGGCGCCTGTACTCCCAGCTACTCAGGAGGCTGAGGCAGAAGAATGGCGTGAAGCCAGGAGGTGGAGCTTGCAGTGAACTGAGATCATGCCACTGCACTCCAGCCTGGAGACAGAGCAAGACTCCATCTCAAAAAAACAAAACAAACAAACAAAAAAGCAGCAGTAAGTTCATTAATCAGATTCACTGAAATGGTTTTAGAATAACTGTAATTGCTCAATTTAGACGTCCCTTTCCTTTCTCCCCAAGGATATTGTGTATGTACTATAGAATTATAAATGCATAGCATTATGTAATATGAAATATAACATACTCTAAGATATAAATGTGAGTTAATTACATGAGTGAACATTTAAGAGAAACATTCAGACGATCTCCTAACACTTGAGAGCCTGGGGAAAGTGGGACTATCACGTCTGTCTTGCAGATTTCACCTCCCAGGCTCAGCCACTTGAATGCTCTTGCAGCTTTCCTACCACCTCTGCCTGCCAGCCAATCCTGTCTTGTTGAATCTGACCTCCCTATTGGCTATGGCAGACAGCTGCTGCCTGCTTTGTGACATCATTCTCCCTCCAAACCTACCACCGCCTGGTAGAATCTTGGGGTTGCTGGGGAGTGGCCTGTACATTTGTATCATCGCAAGTGGCCAGTGACCAGTGACCGGTGACCAGTGGCCTTCATACTGGACACATGCGCACTGGGTGGCTCGAGCCACCCAGACATCCCGCTAGTGTCGTCACTTCATCCTTTGTATCTCCAGTTGATGTTTCTTCTTCTCTGACCATGTCAGGTAAAGAAAGAAACTTTTTAAAAAGTTTTCTAGAGATTTCTTTCCCCCTAAATTTAGATTCCTTTACCCCTTTAGTCCCAAACAGCTTGGAATAACAGGGAAACTCTTGAAGTAGAAATCTAGAGACTTCATTTCAGTTTGCAAGCGTACTGATATTTACTAGCTTCTGTGTGACCTTAGATAACTTATTCTCATGGAGTCTGTTTCCTCATCTGTTACATTAGGATAATAAATTGGTTATTCCTTCTGGTCCTTTTCTTTTCTAATCTCTCCCCTGAGTCTTAAAGGAGTATCATATACAAAAATCAGAAGACTTTCCCCAAGAGTGTTCGTTTCCACAGAAACAGAGAAAAACCCAAAGTGGCATAGAAAAAAAACAAACAAACAAACAAAAAAGCAGCAGTAAGTTCATTAATCAGATTCACTGAAATGGTTTTAGAATAACTGTAATTGCTCAATTTAGACGTCCCTTTCCTTTCTCCCCAAGGATATTGTGTATGTACTATAGAATTATAAATGCATAGCATTATGTAATATGAAATATAACATATAAAATATAAATGTGAGTTAATTACATGAGTGAACATTTAAGAGAAACATTCAGACGATCTCCCTAACATGAGAGCCTGGGGGAAAGTGCGGCAAATAAATCCATTAATCAGACTCACTGAAATGGTTTAGAACAACTGTAATTGCTCAACTTAGACGTCCCTGTCCTTTCTCCCCAAGGATATTATTGTATGTACTATATAATTATAAGAATACATAGTATTAAATAATATGAAATATAACGTATAAAATATAAATCTTAGTTAATTATATAGATGAACATTTGTGAGAAACATTCAGATGATCTCCTAACATGTGAGGCCTGGGGAAAGTGGGACTATCACATCTAATCTTGCAGATTTCACCTCCCCAGAGCCCAGCCATAGTGCTGTTGCAACTTTCTACCACCTCTGCCAGCCAATCCTGTCTTGTTGGGAATCTGACCTCCCTATTGGCTGTAACCAGACCTTTAAAACTGCCTGCTTTGTGACATCATTCTCCCACCAAACCTATCACCACCTGGTAGAATCTTGGGGTTTGCTGGGAGTGGCCTGTACATTTGTATCATCGCAAGTGGCCAGTGACCAGTGACCGGTGACCAGTGGCCTTCATACTGGACACATGCACTCGTTGGCTTGAGCCACCCCGGGCATCCGCTAGTATCGTCTCTTCTGCATCCTTTGTATCTGCAGTTGTTGTTTCTTCTTCTCTGACCATGTCAGGTAGAAAAACTTTTAAAGTTTTCCTGAAGTTTCTTTCCCCTAGTTTAGATTCCTTTACCCTACAGTCCCAAACAACTTCAGAATAACAGGGAAACTCTTGAAGTAGAAATCTAGAGACTTCATTTCAAGTTTTTGCCTTTGATATTTACTAGCTGTGTGACTTTAGATAACTTATTCTCATGGAATCTGATATCATCTGTTACATTAGGATAATAAATTGATTATTCCTTCTGGTCCTTTTCTTTTCTAATACTGAGTCTTAAAGAGTATACATATACAAAATGAAATCAGAGACTTTCTTGAGTGTTCATTTCAACAGGAAACAGAAAAAAACCCGAAGTGGCGTAGAAAAGTAGTAATATGTTCTGAGATGTTTCATTTGTAATAGTCTCCCTCCACTAATATTTCAACTTTTCTATTTTTAAATTTAACTGATGTTTAGTTGTGTT